TTCGCTCTTCGCCTATCGACCCGTAGACACGAAAAAGTCGAGTTTCATAAAGAAAAATAACTTTTGAAGTGGACCCGAGGTACTCGCGATACGCAACGACCGAAATATAACGTTCCAGCGCGGAGCACGCGGTCCGCACGAACTCTGCGGTATGTCGTCGTCGAAGATTAACTCAAATATGTCACTCTCGCCAATTATCCGAGTCCGAATGTCGATATTATAATGTTTTAGATTGTATTAATCGGACGCGTGCTAGTGAAAAGTTGGAAGTGATCGTACGAGAAAACGTCTAGCGGCACGCGTGTTCTCGATAGGGTATTGCCAGAGTTGAAATGGGACCTTTTTGAAAAAAAATTGTATTGAAATTATACATTTCGTACCCTAATTTAATAAACTATCTTCGTATTTTCGTACTCGTTACGTTACGTTACATTACATTACGTTATCATGGCCGACACAGCTGTAGCATCAGAGGCGCCCGCACCGGCGACCCCTGCGAAGAAGCCGAAGTCCTCCGCGTCCGCACCCGGCGTCAAGAAGGCGAAAGCTAAACCCACGCACCCGAAGACCTCCGAGATGGTGAACAACGCCATCAAAGAGCTGAAGGAGCGCAGCGGATCCTCCCTGCAGGCTATCAAGAAGTATATAGCCGCGCAGTACAAGGTCGACGCCGAAAAGCTGGCGCCGTTCATCAGGAAGTATCTGAAGAGCGCAGTCGAGTCCGGAGCGTTGATCCAGACTAAGGGCCAGGGCGCGTCCGGATCGTTCAAGCTCGACAAGTCCAAGTCTACGACTGCGAGCAAGAAGAAGAAGCCGGCGTCGGCCAAGACCGCAGGCGCCAGGGGTTCGTCGGCGGCGTCCGCTTCGGCGAAGTCTAAAAAGAAGGAGACCGCTGCCGCCTCCGCCGGCGGCAAGGCTAAGAAGGCCGGCGCCTCTGCCGCCTCGTCCTCCGCCTCACCGGCGAAATCGAAGGCCGCCATAAGGGACAAAAAGGCTGCAGCCGCCAAGAAGAAGCCCGCCCCGAAGAAGGCCGCCACGCCGGCGAAGGCCAAGGGCGGCGCCGCGCCCAAGGCCAAGAAGACCGCCAAGCCGCCCACCAAGAAGCCGAAAGCTCCCAAACCCAAGAAGGCGGCCGCCGCGCCCAAGTCGAAGCCCGCCGCTAAGAAAGCCGCAGCCGCCAAGAAGTAATCGGCCGGAGCGGAGGAACCTCTCGGTGGTGGTGGTGTGCCTGCCGGATGACCGACCGACCGACCGACCGACCGACCGACTCGTCTGCCACTGATCCACGGATCCACCACCCCCGCCACTTGCGTTGGCTCGTGGGTGTGTTGGTTTTGTTTGGTTGGTCGGTGGCGGGTGGGGCGCCACGGCTACGGGGGCGACGCGTCGCGTATAGCAACAACCAAAAAGCCCTTTTCAGGGCTAACAATATATTCTGAAACCGAACTCGTTTCCGTCGGAGGCGTCGCTAATATGTACACGGTAGTACTACTGTACTAGTAGCACCATACGTATGTATGTATGTATATACATACATACATACATACATACATACATACATACATACTCTCCCATACGTCCCAACTCGCGCTCTTCTTCTTCTTAATTTATTCAATTCAATATTTTTCTTAATATCACGACCACCACGATTGTATATATTATATTATATTATATTATATTATATAAACAAACGGCCCGCGCAGACCTCTCTCCGCCCGACTGCCCGACTCGATTCGATTCCATACCATTCCATTCCATTCAAATCATAATCATAATCATAACTTAATGCGAATTGCGAATTGATAATTTTACTACATGTTTTGTTTGTTTTCATCTATGTCGCTCGTCCGTCCGTCCGTCCGTCGTCTCCCGTCTCTTTCACTCCGTTTCCCACCGTGAGCGCATGCCGCGCACCCTTCGGCCCGCCGCCTATATATACGCGAATGCTCGCTGCCTGTTTTTTCATTCCACAATATACTGTTCGATCGTTCGGACGCCTACTGTATTTTACTATACTATATTTAAATAATAATTATCATTCGTCATGTCCGGTCGCGGCAAAGGCGGTAAAGTGAAGGGGAAGGCAAAGTCTCGATCAGCTCGTGCCGGTCTCCAGTTCCCGGTGGGCCGTATCCATAGGCTGCTGCGCAAGGGCAACTATGCGGAACGCGTCGGTGCCGGCGCCCCCGTGTACCTAGCGGTCGTCATGGAATACCTGGCCGCCGAAGTGCTCGAGTTGGCCGGCAACGCGGCGAGGGACAACAAGAAGACCAGGATCATACCGAGACATTTGCAGCTCGCCATAAGGAACGACGAGGAGTTGAACAAGCTACTCTCCGGCGTGACCATAGCTCAGGGAGGCGTACTGCCGAACATACAGGCTGTGCTCCTGCCCAAGAAGACCGAGAAAAAGGCTTAAGTCTTGTAACTAGACGAAGCTCTCTCCTCTCTCCTCAGTCTTCGGGATTAGGTTTGATTGATGGTGATTGAACAAATTAAAAAGGCCCTTTTCAGGGCCGCAACATACATCTGCACTGTTTTACGCTCGTTTCCGTAGCGAGGTAGTTGTTTACGTTTTAAAGTATTTATACATTATATTGTATTTACGTATATGCACGTACACTGGCCGGGAGCTTTGTGCGTCCATTCAGCGGGTAGCGTTGTGTATTGTTGTTGTATGAAATAACAATCGGTCATTCATTCGCGCATTAAAATAATAAACATGCATTATTTTCTGCTATAATAGATAGGTACATAATAATTGATCATGGGGCGTGCATATGTGTATTTGCGACCCGTATGGTCTCATGGTCTCTCATACATAAACAACAACAACAAAGAACAAATTTTATAAATTAATTTAATTACGGCAATATTATTATCAATTTCATTTATTGATTTTAAGTTCATTGAGACGATTATTATGGGTCATATCAATTAATTAATTTATTATTCATTACATTATTATTTTTTATTATTCCGTACCGATATATATATATAATAATATATCCGTACAGAAGCGTAGAAACTAGGGACGACGCGCGCGATCACGCGATTGGTCGAGAGGCGCGCCGACGTCCGGTGCCGGCGGGGATCAGTGCGGTCGTTACCGGGTGCTACGGTCGCCGGTCGGGGCGTATTTAAAACGGAGGCGCGGCCGTAACACGAACATTACCAATTGTGACTCGTGCACGTTAACACGTACTCGCGTCTCGTATAGTTTCATTTGATTCGTCAACCTACTCCTACTCGATCATGCCGCCCAAGACCAGCGGTAAGGCCGCCAAGAAGTCAGGAAAGGCTCAAAAGAACATCTCCAAGACCGACAAGAAAAAGAAGAAGCACAAGAGGAAGGAGAGCTACGCCATCTATATCTACAAAGTGCTGAAGCAGGTCCACCCCGACACGGGCATATCCAGTAAGGCCATGTCGATCATGAATTCGTTCGTGAACGACATATTCGAGCGCATCGCCGCCGAAGCCAGCCGTCTCGCCCACTACAACAAGAGGTCCACTATCACCTCCAGGGAGGTGCAGACTTCCGTGAGGCTGCTGTTGCCCGGGGAGCTCGCCAAGCACGCCGTCAGTGAGGGCACCAAGGCCGTCACCAAGTACACCAGCTCGAAGTGAGGTGCTCGTGCTGCTGCTCATTCGTCAAACCGACCAAACAAAACAAAAGGCCCTTCAGGGCCGCAAAACTGTTCGCATTTAAAGTTTCTATGTCGGAGGTGTTCACCGTCTCTTATAATATATTCAATATATTAATAATACACATCATAAAATTACTTAGTGATTATTTATACTACTGCTGTAAGATGAAAGATGCATTGCCGCCGTCCGCTTTGATTCCGCATTTAGCGTGTGCAATTATTCATTTATTATAATATTATATATATATATATATATTATAAATTTTAATTTAAAATAATCGGTGTATGTACGTATGCATGCATGACTAGGGACGGGGTTACTGATATTTCTGTGAGTACATGTGGGAGATCGATTATAATAATGTAATGTAACGTATGACTTCGAGATCGATTTGTCGCATAAATAAATATGTATGTATGTACAATACGCATGTACGCATGTACGCATGTCCGCATGTACGCATGTATTGTACATAGGTGTGTACATACAAACACGTAAAACGTAATTATACGTACGTTAATTAATTGTTGTAATCATTAATCATTAAAATAATTATAATAATAATAATAATAATATTTCGTTTTGTAACATTTTATAATGTATTTCACATTATATAGTACAGCAGACACAGAGAGCGAAAGAGATGGTACATATGAAAGTGCGCCGTGAACGAGAGGGAGAGAGATCGGGTGCGCTCGCTCTATAAATAACCGGGCATTAGGCGCTTGCGCTTCATTCTCTGTCTGAACGCTCTCCGTCTCGTCACGTTCCGTTCCGCCGTCCGTTCGTTCGTCAGTCAAGTTCACAGTCTTATTATAAACCGCCATGGCACGTACAAAGCAGACCGCCCGTAAATCGACCGGTGGCAAGGCTCCACGAAAACAGTTGGCGACCAAAGCGGCCCGCAAGAGCGCACCGGCCACCGGTGGTGTCAAGAAGCCGCATCGTTACAGGCCCGGCACCGTGGCCCTGCGTGAGATTCGTCGCTACCAAAAGAGCACCGAGCTGCTGATCCGCAAGCTGCCTTTCCAGCGTCTGGTCCGCGAGATCGCTCAGGACTTCAAGACTGATCTACGTTTCCAGAGTTCCGCTGTGATGGCTTTGCAGGAGGCCAGCGAGGCGTATCTGGTCGGTCTCTTCGAGGACACCAACCTTTGCGCCATCCACGCTAAACGCGTCACCATCATGCCGAAGGACATCCAGCTCGCCCGCCGTATCAGAGGCGAACGTGCTTGAGCTTGTCGTCACTTCGTATTGGACTTCGACTCTCTCGTCGTGATCGTGGTCGTGACAGTCGTATACGCGCCGTATACGCGTGTCACGTACACGGTACGACGGTGGTGTATAGGAGAGGAGAAGAAGAATATTATCACACACACACACACAAAAGGCCCTTTTCAGGGCCACAAATGTTTTCTGTACTTTGTTAACGTTTCCGTTCGTTGAGATCACTGTCTAGTTTAACTTGTCAACGACGTAAAAACCGAATCGATTCATTCATTCATTTACTTGATTGAATTTAGTATTGCTTATTTTGTGTCGTCAATTTAAACTAATTAACTTATATTATTGCTGTAGAGTGTAGACGAGAGGGTGAGCAGTAGTGCGGTGTAGTCAGTAGACACAGTTAATTAGTTGTATATCATCTACGTACGTATATTCAGGTCACGTCTTTTGAATAAACAAAAAAAAAAAAAAAAAAAAAAACGCTTTCACAGGGCACATATCCTATGGTATACTGAATATAGTCCGAATATAGGCGAATGGCTGTATGATGTTCTTTATTGTCGTAGTACTCAATTTTTACATGTAACGATTATTATCTATGTACATAATTTGCGTTTGGTTGAATTGTCCGATATAATAAATGCTATGTATTTATTCTTTATTAGATTAGATTATTATATTATTAATTAGACGACCGTAGTAATCGACAAATATAATTATAAATAATAATAATATTCTATATAAAAATAAATAAATAAGAGATTTTGCTTCGAGATCGCAGGTCGCGGGACGAGGGCTCGAGGTCGGGGGACGAGGTACGGGGGAAACGCGGGCTTGCGGGAGGGGGCCGTCGAGGTGGGTATAAATGGGACCGCGCGCCGCTTTTCGATCAGCATAGCAGTTACGTTACTTTACGTTACGTTCCGTTCGCAGTGCGTCGAATTAGATCCTACTCTATTGAAAAATGACCGGTCGCGGCAAGGGAGGCAAAGGTCTGGGAAAAGGTGGCGCCAAGCGTCACAGGAAGGTGCTCCGCGATAACATCCAGGGCATCACCAAGCCGGCTATTCGTCGTTTGGCTCGCAGGGGCGGCGTGAAGCGTATCTCCGGTCTGATATACGAAGAGACGCGCGGCGTGCTGAAGGTGTTCCTCGAGAACGTGATCCGCGACGCGGTCACGTACACCGAGCACGCCAAGAGGAAGACCGTCACCGCCATGGACGTGGTCTACGCCCTGAAACGCCAGGGCCGTACTCTGTACGGTTTCGGCGGTTAATTTACTAGCGGAGCGGCGGTGGCGATATATCGAATTGTAGCGAGCATACAACGGAACGTTAATTTCAGCTGTATACTTAAAGCAAAGCGATACAAGAAACTAAAAAGGCCCTTCTCAGGGCCGCAAACTTTTCGTGAGATCCAAATCGGTTTCCCGAGAGCGGTATAGATATCGTTGTCGGTTTGCATTTAGTCTACATACATACACGCATATTATGTGTGGTATGTATATTATATATTATACATACAAATTCACCGTACCGTATTGCATTGTATTGTATTGTATTGTATTGTACACGCACGAACAAATAAAAATGAGTAAAACTTTCATGTTTAGGTTTGGTTAGGTTAGGTTTTATTTCTACTTTTTCTCCACTATACATTTAGTAGAGTAGACTAGTGAAACGGCTGGATATTTTAGAACGATACGTTGTACGTACGTAACATATTATTAATAAAAACACTCTCTCTGTTTAGTCATTTAATAATTATAATTATAATTTATTTATTTGATATAACTGAGGGTTATTACGACGACGTACGACGTAGTACGAAAGACGTTTGTATCTATCTACCTGCCTGTCTTAGTGTTGTTTTACTGCCTCTTATCGGCGTTCTCAGAACGTATAATTATTATTTATACTAACTAATTTTAATTTCACTTACTTGTACGTGTACTTGCATGCATCGCACAGCTCCTCTTGTAAGATGTGTGGCTACAGTATTCTCGCCCTCGATACTGGTGTGCGCCGCCGCTTGCCCGCGGATGGATCACGGCCACCTGAAAAAATACAACATAATAATATATATTTATATTTCACCGCCGTAAATGTTTACACCGTTTACAGTGGCGATAGTGTATTTTTATATATACCTAAATGCAGGATGCATTCTTGCGAATGGGCAGATGTGTATGTTCCTGACACCGACTGACTGGCCGTTTGCTGTTTTACGACCCTCTACTTGAGACGGTCGAAATACACATGTGTACGGTGTAATGTTTGACGATTTGCGATACTTCCGAAGAACGGTATCTTCGCTCTTCGCCTATCGACCCGTAGACACGAAAAAGTCGAGTTTCATAAAGAAAAATAACTTTTGAAGTGGACCCGAGGTACTCGCGATACGCAACGACCGAAATATAACGTTCCAGCGCGGAGCACGCGGTCCGCACGAACTCTGCGGTATGTCGTCGTCGAAGATTAACTCAAATATGTCACTCTCGCCAATTATCCGAGTCCGAATGTCGATATTATAATGTTTTAGATTGTATTAATCGGACGCGTGCTAGTGAAAAGTTGGAAGTGATCGTACGAGAAAACGTCTAGCGGCACGCGTGTTCTCGATAGGGTATTGCCAGAGTTGAAATGGGACCTTTTTGAAAAAAAATTGTATTGAAATTATACATTTCGTACCCTAATTTAATAAACTATCTTCGTATTTTCGTACTCGTTACGTTACGTTACATTACATTACGTTATCATGGCCGACACAGCTGTAGCATCAGAGGCGCCCGCACCGGCGACCCCTGCGAAGAAGCCGAAGTCCTCCGCGTCCGCACCCGGCGTCAAGAAGGCGAAAGCTAAACCCACGCACCCGAAGACCTCCGAGATGGTGAACAACGCCATCAAAGAGCTGAAGGAGCGCAGCGGATCCTCCCTGCAGGCTATCAAGAAGTATATAGCCGCGCAGTACAAGGTCGACGCCGAAAAGCTGGCGCCGTTCATCAGGAAGTATCTGAAGAGCGCAGTCGAGTCCGGAGCGTTGATCCAGACTAAGGGCCAGGGCGCGTCCGGATCGTTCAAGCTCGACAAGTCCAAGTCTACGACTGCGAGCAAGAAGAAGAAGCCGGCGTCGGCCAAGACCGCAGGCGCCAGGGGTTCGTCGGCGGCGTCCGCTTCGGCGAAGTCTAAAAAGAAGGAGACCGCTGCCGCCTCCGCCGGCGGCAAGGCTAAGAAGGCCGGCGCCTCTGCCGCCTCGTCCTCCGCCTCACCGGCGAAATCGAAGGCCGCCATAAGGGACAAAAAGGCTGCCGCCGCCAAGAAGAAGCCCGCCCCGAAGAAGGCCGCCACGCCGGCGAAGGCCAAGGGCGGCGCCGCGCCCAAGGCCAAGAAGACCGCCAAGCCGCCCACCAAGAAGCCGAAAGCTCCCAAACCCAAGAAGGCGGCCGCCGCGCCCAAGTCGAAGCCCGCCGCTAAGAAAGCCGCAGCCGCCAAGAAGTAATCGGCCGGAGCGGAGGAACCTCTCGGTGGTGGTGGTGTGCCTGCCGGATGACCGACCGACCGACCGACCGACCGACCGACTCGTCTGCCACTGATCCACGGATCCACCACCCCCGCCACTTGCGTTGGCTCGTGGGTGTGTTGGTTTTGTTTGGTTGGTCGGTGGCGGGTGGGGCGCCACGGCTACGGGGGCGACGCGTCGCGTATAGCAACAACCAAAAAGCCCTTTTCAGGGCTAACAATATATTCTGAAACCGAACTCGTTTCCGTCGGAGGCGTCGCTAATATGTACACGGTAGTACTACTGTACTTGTAGCACCATACGTATGTATGTATGTATATACATACATACATACATACATACATACATACATACACACTCACTATATATCTCTCCCATACGTCCCAACTCGCGCTCTTCTTCTTCTTAATTTATTCAATTCAATATTTTTCTTAATATCACGACCACCACGATTGTATATATTATATTATATTATATTATATTATATTATATAAACAAACGGCCCGCGCAGACCTCTCTCCGCCCGACTGCCCGACTCGATTCGATTCCATACCATTCCATTCCATTCAAATCATAATCATAATCATAACTTAATGCGAATTGCGAATTGATAATTTTACTACATGTTTTGTTTGTTTTCATCTATGTCGCTCGTCCGTCCGTCCGTCCGTCGTCTCCCGTCTCTTTCACTCCGTTTCCCACCGTGAGCGCATGCCGCGCACCCTTCGGCCCGCCGCCTATATATACGCGAATGCTCGCTGCCTGTTTTTTCATTCCACAATATACTGTTCGATCGTTCGGACGCCTACTGTATTTTACTATACTATATTTAAATAATAATTATCATTCGTCATGTCCGGTCGCGGCAAAGGCGGTAAAGTGAAGGGGAAGGCAAAGTCTCGATCAGCTCGTGCCGGTCTCCAGTTCCCGGTGGGCCGTATCCATAGGCTGCTGCGCAAGGGCAACTATGCGGAACGCGTCGGTGCCGGCGCCCCCGTGTACCTAGCGGCCGTCATGGAATACCTGGCCGCCGAAGTGCTCGAGTTGGCCGGCAACGCGGCGAGGGACAACAAGAAGACCAGGATCATACCGAGACATTTGCAGCTCGCCATAAGGAACGACGAGGAGTTGAACAAGCTACTCTCCGGCGTGACCATAGCTCAGGGAGGCGTACTGCCGAACATACAGGCTGTGCTCCTGCCCAAGAAGACCGAGAAAAAGGCTTAAGTCTTGTAACTAGACGAAGCTCTCTCCTCTCTCCTCAGTCTTCGGGATTAGGTTTGATTGATGGTGATTGAACAAATTAAAAAGGCCCTTTTCAGGGCCGCAACATACATCTGCACTGTTTTACGCTCGTTTCCGTAGCGAGGTAGTTGTTTACGTTTTAAAGTATTTATACATTATATTGTATTTACGTATATGCACGTACACTGGCCGGGAGCTTTGTGCGTCCATTCAGCGGGTAGCGTTGTGTGTTATGTATGAAATAACAATCGGTCATTCATTCGCGCATTAAAATAATAAACATGCATTATTTTCTGCTATAATAGATAGGTACATAATAATAATTGATCATGGGGCGTGCATATGTGTATTTGCGACCCGTATGGTCTCATGGTCTCTCATACATAAACAACAACAACAAAGAACAAATTTTATAAATTAATTTAATTACGGCAATATTATTATCAATTTCATTTATTGATTTTAAGTTCATTGAGACGATTATTATGGGTCATATCAATTAATTAATTTATTATTCATTACATTATTATTTTTTATTATTCCGTACCGATATATATATATAATAATATATCCGTACAGAAGCGTAGAAACTAGGGACGACGCGCGCGATCACGCGATTGGTCGAGAGGCGCGCCGACGTCCGGTGCCGGCGGGGATCAGTGCGGTCGTTACCGGGTGCTACGGTCGCCGGTCGGGGCGTATTTAAAACGGAGGCGCGGCCGTAACACGAACATTACCAATTGTGACTCGTGCACGTTAACACGTACTCGCGTCTCGTATAGTTTCATTTGATTCGTCAACCTACTCCTACTCGATCATGCCGCCCAAGACCAGCGGTAAGGCCGCCAAGAAGTCAGGAAAGGCTCAAAAGAACATCTCCAAGACCGACAAGAAAAAGAAGAAGCACAAGAGGAAGGAGAGCTACGCCATCTATATCTACAAAGTGCTGAAGCAGGTCCACCCCGACACGGGCATATCCAGTAAGGCCATGTCGATCATGAATTCGTTCGTGAACGACATATTCGAGCGCATCGCCGCCGAAGCCAGCCGTCTCGCCCACTACAACAAGAGGTCCACTATCACCTCCAGGGAGGTGCAGACTTCCGTGAGGCTGCTGTTGCCCGGGGAGCTCGCCAAGCACGCCGTCAGTGAGGGCACCAAGGCCGTCACCAAGTACACCAGCTCGAAGTGAGGTGCTCGTGCTGCTGCTCATTCGTCAAACCGACCAAACAAAACAAAAGGCCCTTTTCAGGGCCGCAAAACTGTTCGCATTTAAAGTTTCTATGTCGGAGGTGTTCACCGTCTCTTATAATATATTCAATATATTAATAATACACATCATAAAATTACTTAGTGATTATTTATACTACTGCTGTAAGATGAAAGATGCATTGCCGCCGTCCGCTTTGATTCCGCATTTAGCGTGTGCAATTATTCATTTATTATAATATTATATATATATATATATATTATAAATTTTAATTTAAAATAATCGGTGTATGTACGTATGCATGCATGACTAGGGACGGGGTTACTGATATTTCTGTGAGTACATGTGGGAGATCGATTATAATAATGTAATGTAACGTATGACTTCGAGATCGATTTGTCGCATAAATAAATATGTATGTATGTACAATACGCATGTACGCATGTACGCATGTCCGCATGTACGCATGTATTGTACATAGGTGTGTACATACAAACACGTAAAACGTAATTATACGTACGTTAATTAATTGTTGTAATCATTAATCATTAAAATAATTATAATAATAATAATAATAATATTTCGTTTTGTAACATTTTATAATGTATTTCACATTATATAGTACAGCAGACACAGAGAGCGAAAGAGATGGTACATATGAAAGTGCGCCGTGAACGAGAGGGAGAGAGATCGGGTGCGCTCGCTCTATAAATAACCGGGCATTAGGCGCTTGCGCTTCATTCTCTGTCTGAACGCTCTCGCTCTCCGTCTCGTCACGTTCCGTTCCGTTCGTTCGTTCGTTCGTCAGTCGTCGTCAGTCAAGTCACAGTCTTATTATAAACCGCCATGGCACGTACAAAGCAGACCGCCCGTAAATCGACCGGTGGCAAGGCTCCACGAAAACAGTTGGCGACCAAAGCGGCCCGCAAGAGCGCACCGGCCACCGGTGGTGTCAAGAAGCCGCATCGTTACAGGCCCGGCACCGTGGCCCTGCGTGAGATTCGTCGCTACCAAAAGAGCACCGAGCTGCTGATCCGCAAGCTGCCTTTCCAGCGTCTGGTCCGCGAGATCGCTCAGGACTTCAAGACTGATCTACGTTTCCAGAGTTCCGCTGTGATGGCTTTGCAGGAGGCCAGCGAGGCGTATCTGGTCGGTCTCTTCGAGGACACCAACCTTTGCGCCATCCACGCTAAACGCGTCACCATCATGCCGAAGGACATCCAGCTCGCCCGCCGTATCAGAGGCGAACGTGCTTGAGCTTGTCGTCACTTCGTATTGGACTTCGACTCTCTCGTCGTGATCGTGGTCGTGACAGTCGTATACGCGCCGTATACGCGTGTCACGTACACGGTACGACGGTGGTGTATAGGAGAGGAGAAGAAGAATATTATCACACACACACACACACAAAAGGCCCTTTTCAGGGCCACAAATGTTTTCTGTACTTTGTTAACGTTTCCGTTCGTTGAGATCACTGTCTAGTTTAACTTGTCAACGACGTAAAAACCGAATCGATTCATTCATTCATTTACTTGATTGAATTTAGTATTGCTTATTTTGTGTCGTCAATTTAAACTAATTAACTTATATTATTGCTGTAGAGTGTAGACGAGAGGGTGAGCAGTAGTGCGGTGTAGTCAGTACACACAGTTAATTAGTTGTATATCATCTACGTACGTATATTCAGGTCACGTCTTTTGAATAAACAAAAAAAAAAAAAAAAAACGCTTTCACAGGGCACATATCCTATGGTATACTGAATATAGTCCGAATATAGGCGAATGGCTGTATGATGTTCTTTATTGTCGTAGTACTCAATTTTTACATGTAACGATTATTATCTATGTACATAATTTGCGTTTGGTTGAATTGTCCGATATAATAAATGCTATGTATTTATTCTTTATTAGATTAGATTATTATATTATTAATTAGACGACCGTAGTAATCGACAAATATAATTATAAATAATAATAATATTCTATATAAAAATAAATAAATAAGAGATTTTGCTTCGAGATCGCAGGTCGCGGGACGAGGGCTCGAGGTCGGGGGACGAGGTACGGGGGAAACGCGGGCTTGCGGGAGGGGGCCGTCGAGGTGGGTATAAATGGGACCGCGCGCCGCTTTTCGATCAGCATAGCAGTTACGTTACTTTACGTTACGTTCCGTTCGCAGTGCGTCGAATTAGATCCTACTCTATTGAAAAATGACCGGTCGCGGCAAGGGAGGCAAAGGTCTGGGAAAAGGTGGCGCCAAGCGTCACAGGAAGGTGCTCCGCGATAACATCCAGGGCATCACCAAGCCGGCTATTCGTCGTTTGGCTCGCAGGGGCGGCGTGAAGCGTATCTCCGGTCTGATATACGAAGAGACGCGCGGCGTGCTGAAGGTGTTCCTCGAGAACGTGATCCGCGACGCGGTCACGTACACCGAGCACGCCAAGAGGAAGACCGTCACCGCCATGGACGTGGTCTACGCCCTGAAACGCCAGGGCCGTACTCTGTACGGTTTCGGCGGTTAATTTACTAGCGGAGCGGCGGTGGCGATATATCGAATTGTAGCGAGCATACAACGGAACGTTAATTTCAGCTGTATACTTAAAGCAAAGCGATACAAGAAACTAAAAAGGCCCTTCTCAGGGCCGCAAACTTTTCGTGAGATCCAAATCGGTTTCCCGAGAGCGGTATAGATATCGTTGTCGGTTTGCATTTAGTCTACATACATACACGCATATTATGTGTGGTATGTATATTATATATTATACATACAAATTCACCGTACCGTATTGCATTGTATTGTATTGTATTGTATTGTACACGCACGAACAAATAAAAATGAGTAAAACTTTCATGTTTAGGTTTGGTTAGGTTAGGTTTTATTTCTACTTTTTCTCCACTATACATTTAGTAGAGTAGACTAGTGAAACGGCTGGATATTTTAGAACGATACGTTGTACGTACGTAACATATTATTAATAAAAACACTCTCTCTGTTTAGTCATTTAATAATTATAATTATAATTTATTTATTTGATATAACTGAGGGTTATTACGACGACGTACGACGTAGTACGAAAGACGTTTGTATCTATCTACCTGCCTGTCTTAGTGTTGTTTTACTGCCTCTTATCGGCGTTCTCAGAACGTATAATTATTATTTATACTAACTAATTTTAATTTCACTTACTTGTACGTGTACTTGCATGCATCGCACAGCTCCTCTTGTAAGATGTGTGGCTACAGTATTCTCGCCCTCGATACTGGTGTGCGCCGCCGCTTGCCCGCGGATGGATCACGGCCACCTGAAAAAATACAACATAATAATATATATTTATATTTCACCGCCGTAAATGTTTACACCGTTTACAGTGGCGATAGTGTATTTTTATATATACCTAAATGCAGGATGCATTCTTGCGAATGGGCAGATGTGTATGTTCCTGACACCGACTGACTGGCCGTTTGCTGTTTTACGACCCTCTACTTGAGACGGTCGAAATACACATGTGTACGGTGTAATGTTTGACGATTTGCGATACTTCCGAAGAACGGTATCTTCGCTCTTCGCCTATCGACCCGTAGACACGAAAAAGTCGAGTTTCATAAAGAAAAATAACTTTTGAAGTGGACCCGAGGTACTCGCGATACGCAACGACCGAAATATAACGTTCCAGCGCGGAGCACGCGGTCCGCACGAACTCTGCGGTATGTCGTCGTCGAAGATTAACTCAAATATGTCACTCTCGCCAATTATCCGAGTCCGAATGTCGATATTATAATGTTTTAGATTGTATTAATCGGACGCGTGCTAGTGAAAAGTTGGAAGTGATCGTACGAGAAAACGTCTAGCGGCACGCGTGTTCTCGATAGGGTATTGCCAGAGTTGAAATGGGACCTTTTTGAAAAAAAATTGTATTGAAATTATACATTTCGTACCCTAATTTAATAAACTATCTTCGTATTTTCGTACTCGTTACGTTACGTTACATTACATTACGTTATCATGGCCGACACAGCTGTAGCATCAGAGGCGCCCGCACCGGCGACCCCTGCGAAGAAGCCGAAGTCCTCCGCGTCCGCACCCGGCGTCAAGAAGGCGAAAGCTAAACCCACGCACCCGAAGACCTCCGAGATGGTGAACAACGCCATCAAAGAGCTGAAGGAGCGCAGCGGATCCTCCCTGCAGGCTATCAAGAAGTATATAGCCGCGCAGTACAAGGTCGACGCCGAAAAGCTGGCGCCGTTCATCAGGAAGTATCTGAAGAGCGCAGTCGAGTCCGGAGCGTTGATCCAGACTAAGGGCCAGGGCGCGTCCGGATCGTTCAAGCTCGACAAGTCCAAGTCTACGACTGCGAGCAAGAAGAAGAAGCCGGCGTCGGCCAAGACCGCAGGCGCCAGGGGTTCGTCGGCGGCGTCCGCTTCGGCGAAGTCTAAAAAGAAGGAGACCGCTGCCGCCTCCGCCGGCGGCAAGGCTAAGAAGGCCGGCGCCTCTGCCGCCTCGTCCTCCGCCTCACCGGCGAAATCGAAGGCCGCCATAAGGGACAAAAAGGCTGCAGCCGCCAAGAAGAAGCCCGCCCCGAAGAAGGCCGCCACGCCGGCGAAGGCCAAGGGCGGCGCCGCGCCCAAGGCCAAGAAGACCGCCAAGCCGCCCACCAAGAAGCCGAAAGCTCCCAAACCCAAGAAGGCGGCCGCCGCGCCCAAGTCGAAGCCCGCCGCTAAGAAAGCCGCAGCCGCCAAGAAGTAATCGGCCGGAGCGGAGGAACCTCTCGGTGGTGGTGGTGTGCCTGCCGGATGACCGACCGACCGACCGACCGACCGACCGACTCGTCTGCCACTGATCCACGGATCCACCACCCCCGCCACTTGCGTTGGCTCGTGGGTGTGTTGGTTTTGTTTGGTTGGTCGGTGGCGGGTGGGGCGCCACGGCTACGGGGGCGACGCGTCGCGTATAGCAACAACCAAAAAGCCCTTTTCAGGGCTAACAATATATTCTGAAACCGAACTCGTTTCCGTCGGAGGCGTCGCTAATATGTACACGGTAGTACTACTGTACTAGTAGCACCATACGTATGTATGTATGTATATACATACATACATACATACATACATACATAATACACACTATATATCTCTCCCATACGTCCCAACTCGCGCTCTTCTTCTTCTTAATTTATTCAATTCAATATTTTTCTTAATATCACGACCACCACGATTGTATATATTATATTATATTATATTATATTATATAAATACAAACGGCCCGCGCATTTTTCTCTAATATTCATTATTTTACTTTTTCATCATTTATTTGTTCATTATTTACTTATCACATATAAAAATTTCAAGACGTTAAAATGGTGGACCTCTCTCCGCCCGACTGCCCGACTTTAATAAAATATCATCAACAGCTAAGGAGATGGAAAAAAGAAAGAGAGAAAATATTTATGATAGATGGATGTTTCGGATTTTGACGCTTTGAGCTTATACATCAGAATAACATATAGGCTATGAATTTCATGCAGGTGAAACCGCGGAACAGATAGTAACACATAAGGGATTTGGCATTGGGTGGCATTGGTAAGATTATCAAGGTTTATGGCAATCCACAGCTATGTGGCCTAATATATATATATATATATATATATATATATATATATATATATATATATATATATATATATAATAGTATAGTAGATGCAGAAAGATAAATTGTAAACTAAGTTTTAAGAAACTAAAAATATTACTGGTGCGTGAACGTTTTTTTCGCATTTCTTATTTCATAAATTCTTACTAATAAATAATATTAATTACTATAATATGTATTAAATTGATTAAGAAACCTAATTTCCCTGGTTTCAGTTAAAGGGTGAGCAGATAATGAAATCTTTAAAATCAATAACACCTATAGAAGTTACAGTAAAAATTAGTTTTGATATCACAAAAACTATATTTAATGCAAACTCTACTTCTTTATATATTTTAAACTAGCAGCTCCCGCGATTCGTCTTCGTATAACACATATTCACAAACTTTGACGCCGCACTAGAGAGTATGAATTGTGAATTGGTCAGGTTGATGATTCCTTACCAAGGCGACTACGAGTACTGAATGGAAGTCCAGGTGCGGGTGAACGAGGAGGGATGCAACGAACATTGCATTGCAACCGACCTGACTAATATGTGATGCACAGACATATAACATGTCATACCGTGTCCAAAATGTAGAAGCATAGAGTTACATAGTTGTCAAATTTTAATAATTAATTAACTGTGTTTCAGGTATCTGTACAAAGTATCTGCAATGTATCTTTTTAAGTCACTAATTATTGTTTTTGAATTTGAAATCATAATAAACATAAGACATTCCTTCAAAATATTATTATTTATTTATATAAGAATATATCTCATATTCTAATATCTATACTTAGAATTATAGATAATTTATAATGTTGTTTATATGTGGTTCTGTTGGTTTATCTTATATGTAGGTAAGCTGCCAGCATAAATTGCAACAAAAAAATAATGCTTTCCTTTGTGTTATTAATACAGATTCAAATAATTATGTATTTGTGTACGACAGTAATATAATAGTAGGTAAAATAAAGAATATTACAAACTTACCTATAATATCTATTCACCACCAGGTGGCGCTAAAGCAATAATAAATACTAAACTAAGTTAAATATGGAACTTTTTTTAATAGATCACCCAATATTGTTTTCAAAACACAACGATAATATAGATTCTTATAAAAATTCCATCTTGACGAGAGAAACAAACTGTAAAACACTATCACACTATCACATCAAAACCACATCTATTCAACAAGGCATGCAACAAGGATGGACCTTCTAAGTCCAACGAAAAATTGCTGACCTACCGACACGGTCAAGGAAGCACTACTAATACTTCTATGCTCACATTTGTGGAAGGACTTTGCATGTTGTCAGTGGCGCATGGGGCGCGGGCGGGGTGGGGGATGACTGTTACACCGGTGGAGGGTGACGTGTTAGGAAGTTTAGTTGTTTATATTCGCTTCTCGCTCTAATTCTGCCATGTAACTGCAGTATATGTAATAAATTACGAAGAATCCTTTTAGTTACTTACTTAAAGCTGCCATATTTAACAATAAACCAAATTAATTACTGGAAAATAATAGTAACAGCATGCGCCAAAAAGCGTAGAAAAACTGAGAAAATGAGACAACAATGAGAATAATAATAATAATGTATTTATTCACTCCAAACATAAAATAAAAAACAACCCTTGGGGCATGTAAAAAATGCTAAAGAACAGATGTTGCCTGTACTAAGTATCCGAAGAATAGAAGTAAAAATATAACTTTTGTTGTCACTTTATTTTGAATTATTCTATATGCAAGTAATCCTAAAATCTATATTGTATTAAGAATACTTATAGCTATCTATTTTTTATCATAGACTACAAATATTGTACCTCACAATAATATTTTGCATTTGCTACCTACCCTGATTCTTTACTACATACTCCTGATTATATATTACATAGTTTGTAGTGCACACTGATTGCATTTGAAAGAAATTATACATCTAGATTTAAGAGTCGTATTAATTCTGTATTGTAACTTACAAGTAAAAAACAAAATATTAGTCATTATTATTTATTTCATGAAAAGAATGAAAAGACCTTTATGAAAAGACACCTCCGTCCAACCGTCGATTGTAATGTTAAAAAACATCTCGTCTCAAAAACAGTAAATAAACTTTGTTCTAAAACTACTGTTTGAAACTAAGAGATATATGCAAATTTTATTCATTAAATAAATTTGTTTTTTTATATACAATTTCGGAACAGACAATGTGGTTTACAATCTTATTAAACACTATGTATAGTACAGCCTTTGGACGCTAGATGGCGCCACGTGTTTTGTAAATACATAATTAAAAGAAGAGTCTACATCATTGTGATATGTTTATTTAGTATAGTCAGATTATTCCTGTATCCTTGTTTAAAACTAACCTAAAATTATAAACTACATAATAACATTTATTCAAACAAAAACAGTACAGTAGTAGCACAAAGCAAAAGATCGAGGCGCGGGGGCGTCTACTGAGCCAAATTTTTCGGTAGACATTTCTTCCATTTGAAATTGAAATGCATTTACTGCTATTTAAGTTATACTAACAAATTAATAATATTCGTAACACTACTGAGTAGTATCTACTACCTATAAAACATTTTGATAACAAAATTTACATCTCCTCGACGCAAGCTAACTGAATACCACGTCCAGGATATATATTGTTCAAGTGAGTTTTTACTGCATGAAAGTTGTTGATTTTAAAATATAATTAAAAATGCATGCAATATTTGGGGGACTTTAAAATATATTGGACCAACAAAATATTACAAATATTAATTCTCATAATGTGTAAAAACAAGGAAGTATCTAAAGAGCTAGCAACGCAGTTTATCAGAAAGCATAATAAAATATTTTAAATTTATTGTATACATGTATGTTCGTATATTAAATAAATGTCTGTACTGAAATATAAAAAGAGTTTCATTAGATATCTCAACTAAATTAGTTACACTATTCAGCGCTAGAGGCGCTGACAGTTTATTTAAGAGATTCATCAAGATGGACAGTAAACAATTTTGAATAATAATATACCTGTAATATAGTATGAAATTAAATAACAGTAATAATGTAAAATTGTTAAATATGTTAATAGCTAAAGACACACAATCAAGTGGATCTCTATGTAAATTGTATAGAACATTTATTGACGTATACTCAAAAATACGTTACAGCAAGAATTAAAATATTAATATAAAAAAAATATGAAAACATAAACTTACCAATTCTCCACAACACATAATATAAAGAAAATATTACAAATATCTTAACAGTCAAGTTTTGTTTAAAAATATATTTAAACTAAAACGGCCGTTATCGGCGCGCTGTTGTAAACTTAAAACTAGTTAGTTAGATAACGTACACAATGCGAAGTGAAAAAATACCACGAGACAAAAGAAATTGGCGGAAGGGGCCGGGCAGGGCGGGGGTGAGCGGCGAACGAGCACTGAGATAATATTATTGTTGTTTTCTAGATATTTAAAACTATTCTTCCATTTGTAGGTACGTTGCAGATATATTATATATATATATATACATTAGATTCTTTAGGTTTGTATATCGTCTAATTTGGCTGAAAATATTTTACTAAAACATGTTAACGAAGTCAAAAATACTGTAAATATAATTGTGTATATGATTTAAAGCGGTTTAAATTATTTTAATCAATCATTTTGTACTAGAAGTTTCATTATCTACAAGATTTTAAATATGAAATGAAACTATACGGTATTTGAACTGTACTAATTAGTATATTTATAACTAAAATATGGATAAAGGAAAAGTATTAATTTTAATTACAATGTTATTGAATAGTATTTATTGAAAGGATTTTGTTAGTGAAAGTCAATAAACTATAATAATATGTTTTCTACTACTTTTGATGCAATTACTCCCTTCAACGTTAGATGGCACCACGCGTATTTTTGTAAAAGTTACTGGAGTAACAAACTAACTGATTTCAATAAAATGTATCTAGTAATAACCAAACATGAGCAAAACAAAAATGATTAAATGATTTACTATTATGACAAGTTATCCTAACAAGTTCGGCTTATCTATAAGATTTGATACAAATAATGATTTGAAGCATTGAATGCTGTTGCTTTGTAAGTATACAATCTGAAAAAAGGAGATCTTCGATGCTAGAGGACTACATTCGAAGTATTATTTATTATATTTTGATATAT